CCGCAGCCGCCCGTCGGGCCTTCTCCTCCCGCGCCCTCAGCGAGGCGCCCCGTTGTCTTGTCTCACCCCCACCCGCCTTTCCTCTCCTAGGAGACAGCAGTACGTGGGGAAGCTCAAGTTCGCCTCCTTGGAGGCGTCACAGGGTTCGAAAAAGCTCATCGTGGCCACTGAGAAGAACGTCGTGGCTGCCTTGAACTCCAGGAGTGGGGAAATCTGTGAGTGAAGTGGGGTTTTCCTGTTCCCCTGGGGCTACCGTGTCAATCAAGTTTCATAAATTACCGCTGGTGATGCTGCTTTGTCAGACTGAGAGGGCTCAGACGGCAGTTCAAACGCAGTTTGAACTTAGGGTTCAAACTTCGGGTAGGCAGACTGTTTTCTGCATAAGCTAATCGCCATGAAGAGCCTAGGTTTAAAAATAACAACAAACCGGTGCCTTTGGGGGCACAAATCTCGTTCTCACGTAACTCTGTTTCCTTCAGTGTGGCGCCATGTAGACAAGGGGACCCCCGAAGGAGCAATAGATGCCATGCTGATCCACGGGCAGGGTAAGGAGAACATGCAGATGGTGACCTGGGGCTGGCAGTTGTACGTGCGATCTCAGCCACGTGGTAGACCACAAGCTGAGCTTGCCAGAACTCACTGCTTTTCATCTGTGGTGGGACGCAGGTTCTGCGTTCATCTCCTCTTCTTAATTTCCTGGGCAGATGCCATCACAGTGTCCAATGCTGGACGTATTCTGCGTTCCTGGGAGACCAACATCGGGGGGTTGAACTGGGAGACATCACTTGACACTGGCAGGGGGGGTGCTTTGTTTTTCTCTTTAATCCTGGTCAAGGAAGAAGAGGGTTGTTGATCTTCTTTGGACTTGCATTATAGGGAAAAATTAGATGTAAGGTTTCTGAAATAATGTTTGGCTGAATTCCTTAGGAATGCCCGAACCTTGCACTTAAATCTAATGCTGTTTCTATTAGCAAATCAGTAAGAGGAAGAGAGAAAATATTTTTCATAGAATGATTTTTTTTCTTTAAATATACAACATGTTCAACCTGCATCTGGTTTGGGGTGTTTGGATCTCAGCCTAGTGCTCTCTGTTGAGATTTGCAAGGATAGATAAAGTAGGCTATAAAATGTACTGCAAGACTGATTTCAGTGTTTGAAGAAAGTCTTCAAACAGTGTGGTTTTGGGTTTTTTTTCCTAGAAGAAAATAACTTTCTAACTTAGTGTCTGTGACCTGTGCTTAGTTTCCAGATGGCTAGTTTGGTGGGGCTACAGGACGTGGTGAAATATGTGGCAGTCCTGAAGAAGGCAGCCATCTCTCTTCACTACCTTTCCAACGGGCACCAGAAATGGGTGGAACACCTACCAGAAAGGTAAGAAGATATTGTAAGTAGAGGTGTAAACTTTTGGCAGGGAGCCTGTTGCCTTGGAAAGAAAAGGTTGCTGTACTTGCCTTTTGATTTTGAAAACAGTAATTGAGGAGATGATGCTTCTTGGTTACTGCCTCTTTTGCAGTGAGAGTACTGAGTACCAGTTGTTGTATTCCCATGGGACTGGAGTGATCCACGTGCTTGGAATCGTTCCCCAGAGCCACTTGAACGTTTTAACGTTCAGCGTAGAAGATGGAGAAATTACAAAACAGGTAGTGCTCGACTATGGATCCAAAAGAGTGAATTTGATGTTAAAAAACGTACTTCCAACTAGCCGGGCTGTGGTGTGGCATGCGGAATAATTAATAGTTGTAGGACTGGTAAACTTCCCTTTCACCGTGGCACGATGTATAGGCAAATAAATGGGTTTCACTGCTGAATGCCCTGAAAGCAGAACGGAATTGTACTTGCTCTGCTAGTCAAGACCCTCCTAGAGATCTCAGGCTGATAGGTAGTTTCTCCCAGGGGTCACGGGTAAAAATAATCCTGACTTCAATTCTTGGTTGTGTCCAAGTTGGTTCGTTGAGGATTTTGTGCTTTTGGTGACGTCATCTCTTTGGTGATGTCTCGCTTGGCAGATGAGAGTAGCAGCCCCGTGGCTGAAGAGCTTAATCGGCGTGTGCAGCATGGTGGGGGAGGCAGTGCTGGTGTGCATGGACATGGACACGCATTCGCTCTACGTGTGCTCCTTAGAGACGGAGCAGGAGATGAAGCAGATCCCGCTGCAGGTGAGAAGTGCTGAAAGAGCATTGTACGTAATTCCTTGTCCAACTGGTTTGGTGCCTGACGGAGCCTGGCAGCGCAGAGGGTTCCCCTGTCGGTAAACCACAGACTGATTGACGAGGTGTGGGGAGGAGCATGATCCATAAACTGAGGGAAAGGAGGGAAAACTGTGTTGTGTTTGTCTAATAATTCCTTCTGGATTGATGTCTCCAAAAGGAGCCTAGGCTTCCTTGCTTCTGCCCCTAACACAGGGAACCTCTTCATAAAGCTCCTATTACTGCAAATAAAAAGAAGGTATTGGTTTCAGTGAAGAAATAGTTCTCATGAACGCATATGCTTGTCTCCCTTTCACAGTCACTTGACCTGGAGTTTGCTGATGGCTTCCAGCCCAGGATCTTGGCCACCCAGCCCAACGTAATCAGTGCTTCACGGACCCAGTTTTTCCTGCAGCTGTCTCCAAGCCACTTCTCTTTGCTGCAGTACAAACATGGGCTGCTCAGCCACCTTCGGGACTTCCAGCAGGTAACCAAGAGAAATGTACTCAAGCGAGAGGGCTAACTATAGCTTAAAATTCTTTAAACTAAAGAAAAATACCCTTATACTAACATTCTGAACAAACTGCTGAGCTTCCCATTTCAATTGTGCTCTTGGCTGAAACACTCGAAAACCATGTGGTTTAATTTATGCTAACTGCTGAAATATTTCCAGGCACGGGTGTAGGTATGCTTCGTTGTCAACAGCTGTCGGCACTGGGGTAGTTTCCTGGGCTTGGGGTGGCTGGAGAGATGCACATGTGTAAGTGGGCAGTGGTGCAGCAGCTAGGCCAGCTGAGAGGTTTTGGAAAGCAAACCAGCTTCAACAAGCTCAGGGATGCTGGACGTTAATGGTTCAACCGCCTGTGGCCGGTCAGCTGTTCCCATCTTTGAGGGGTGTTTTCAGTGTTCTAAGATAGAATGGTTTTTTCTTCGTTTGGTGGAAAAATGAAATTTAAAATGGGGTTGTGAAAGATTACCTTCCAGTGTGCTTTAAGTTGCTGCACAGGCAGTTTTTGGTTGGATTAGGGTATTTTCTTGTTTCTTTTATGGTTTCCTGCTTTTTTTTTTTTTTTTCAGGCAGCTCTGGTGAGTTTTGCAACAACTGGGGAGAAGACTGTGGCTGCTGTCCTGACCTGCAGGAGTGAACTGGTGAGTACAACTCGCCTGTGCTACGTAACGAGCACAGCTCTAGTATGGATATGCCTGGGCGTGGATTCCACGGGTGTTTTCCTTCACAGGCCCAGGGATGGGTAGTAAATTGAGGAAGATCTCCTTAGCTTCTTAGACACAGGAAGACAATGGTGATTCAAGCAGGTCTTGATTACGTGCAGCTAGGGCTGTCTCTGGCTTGATGAAGCATGCTGTCCTGCGTGCGGCCTATTTCAGCCTTGTGCAGGGCGTTAGCATGCAATCTAGGAATCAGCTTCACTGATCTCTAGACCATTTCAGTTTTAGGGATACCAAACCTAGCAAGGTTTCGTTTTGACCAGGAGTAGAAGAGAACAGACATGCTTCCTGCCTGTTTTCAGAGTCAAGGCTTGGTTTTCAGAGGCTTGTCGGGCACTCAAAATCCTGTTTTCTAAATATTCTTATTGGGGTCTGAAACCATGATATCTCATCCTGATTTCAGAAGTCTGGAAGTTCTGATGGCCTTCACGCTGGAAGTACTCTGGAGAATTCCCGGACACAGGTATGAAGTGTGCTTGTTCCTGAGAACAGCAGAAGTTCGTGACGGTCCATTTTCTTCTTTGCCCGTGGGAACAGAATGAAAAAGGTGTTACACCGTGTTTTTGGAGACTGGTGTTTTGCAGTAGCTCCAAATAAATCATCTAAAAATGTCTTGAACCCACAGTTCTTGCTCAACAAGAAATGCTGTGCAGAATTTGGTGTGATATGTATGCTAACTCAGCTGTTTTCTGCCTCTTGCTACAGGACTCCTTAACCTGTTCCAATCAGACCTACAATATTAACCTCTACCTGGTTGAAACTGGACAAAGATTGTTGGATACCACAATTACCTTTAACCTGGAGCAGAGTGGTGCCAAGCCGCAGCAGGTGAGCGGGGACAGGTTACTTCAGTCCTGGGGTTTAACAGATTGGTGGTGCCCTCCGTACCCTGATCTGACACAATTGGTACAGCCCACACTGTCACACTCTTGGCTCTTGTTTCACCCCAGAGTTCTGGTTTTGTCCAAGGAGATAATGTGATCAGTAACCTCACTGTTTTGCTTGCTGTGTTTTCCAGCTATACATCCAAGTTTTCCTGAAGAAGGATGACTCTGTGGGCTATCGAGCCTTGGTGCAAACAGAAGATCACATGCTGATGTTTCTCCAGCAGCCAGGTAACTGGCACACAGCTGACCCACTCCCTTTTTAACAGTGCACTCCTTGTCACTGTAGGGCAAGAAGGAAACTCCAAGTCCCGAATGATTGTTTTACCATTGCTTTGTTTGGAAGCTGGCAAAATGAATTTTAACTGTCCCGTGGAAGATACTGGGGACTCTTTCACGCTCACAAGACATTTAATCTGAGAAAACACTTCTGCAGTGTTCCTGGGGCAGATAGAGCTTTTGAATTTCATCCCATTTTTGTGGGATGAGAGTCTAAGCCCTATTGTAGATCTTCCTCAGAGTTTCTTCAGAAAAGAGGAAATGGCAAAAATGTTAATTTGCAGAAAGGGTTAAAAGTCCATCGCAGTGATGTGAATTTTCTAGCGTTTAAAAGGGACCCAGGTGTTCACACTGTGTTATCTCTTACTTTAAATAGGTTTAATGAGTGTACCCCTTTTAAAACACTGGATTGTTTTTACCGATCCTGTAGGTTTATCCTAGAGCGGCTCCAGTTGTGTGAAGTAACCCTCTGACGGGACAGCTCCGTGGCTGATGTTAGGCAGATGCATGCCGTTTTGCGTTGCATTGAGAACAGTGATTGGTGTTTGAAGGATCCACCCACAGATACTCCTATATCGAGTGAGTTTATTCCCAGATACTAAGTTGACTTTTGAACATGCTGCTCTCTTTTCATTCCAGGAAAAGTTGTATGGAGTCGAGAGGAGTCACTAGCAGAAGTGGTAAGCTTGGAGATGGTGGATCTACCTCTGACAGGCGCACAGGCTGAGTTGGAGGGAGAATTTGGAAAGAAAGCAGGTGAGATTACCTGTGTGTTTGTTTTTCTTCCTGAGTAAATGTATTTATTGTTTTCCTTTTCCTCCGAGATGAGAGTTAGGAGTTAAATGTCTACTGATAGCAATTAAATGAGCAGAAATAAACCTATTTCTGTCTAACCTTTCCCAGTGCAGTGTCAAAGGCAGATGACCTGAATGTGTTACATTGAAAAAACAGTCAGCAGGGATAGGAGGGATTTTGGCTCTCTCTCTCCTAAGCGTTTCCCTTTGACTCTTTCTGGAAGACTGGTTTGCAATAGCTTTTGTTTTTGCTTTGTTTTATTTTTCCTTGCTGTCGTGGATGCAGCCATTCAAGGTAACCTCAGACTGCATGCAGTGTTTTCTAATACTTCTGACTGATGCTTCCTCATGGAACTTGATCTCCCCTCTGCTTGCTTTCCTCAATGGTGAAATATAGTTGCAAGTCTGGTGTTCTGCTTATTTAAAGAAGCTAAATATAAACCCTGATCCGGCAGAATTAAGTGTTTTTATACTTCAGGGGTTTCTTTTGCTCCGAGTCATGACTGCAGAGGGAGATACAGACCTTATAGGTGGGTAAGCTTTCGGGGGCACTTGCTGTGGTTGCACCAGTGAGAAAGAAGGAATACAAAGGAATAGGTGATGCACTCTGCAGGAAGGTTTGCTTTCAGTTGATGAGGCCGTCTTTTGGAATGAGTTACACCAGTGTGAAATGGGAAAAAGGTTGGTAAATGCCAGCCTGTCGTAGAAACGATAACTAGAGCCGCTGTTCTGGAGTGGGAGGTGGAGGCCAAGAATTATCATAGGTTCATGGCAGCGTTTCTTTTGCTGGCTGAGGCCGTAATTTCAGTTATGGAGTGGGACAAAATGTATTTTCTCTCGTTACCGCTGTCGGTCTGTTTGCAGATGGTTTGCTGGGGATGTTTCTGAAGCGTCTGTCCTCCCAGCTTATCCTGCTGCAAGCCTGGACCGCTCATCTCTGGAAGATGTTCTATGACGCCAGGAAACCCCGGAGCCAGATTAAAAATGAGATTAACATTGACAATTTGGCCAGAGATGAATTCAACCTCCAGAAAATGATGGTGATGGTTACTGCTTCGGGAAAGGTGAGGAAGCCAGGGTAGGAAACTTTCTAGACTGTAACAAAGAGCCTCAGCTCTGAATTCCCAACACTGTTTTGAGGCAGGCTTTGGGGAAAATGTCATGAGAAGGGGCGCAGTATGTTTTGTGGTAGCTTTGGAGAGGGGCTCTGCTTTCCTTGTCATATCCTGAAGAGAGAGGCGGCGCTTGAATCCAAGAGATGTCTTGCCCTAAACTTTGGCTTTACTGTGTCTCTCTGCTCAGCTTTTTGGTATTGAAAGCAGCTCTGGCACCATCCTGTGGAAGCAGTATCTCAGGAACGTGAGACCAGGCTGCTCCTTCAAGCTGATGGTCCAAAGAACAACAGCCCATTTCCCGCACCCTCCACAATGTACCTTGCTTGTTAAGGACAAGGTGAGTCCCTTTCCCCTGTCCCTCCATGAACCTGCTTCGCGTGGAGATCTGCCCTTCAAAAGGGCGGAAGAAAGTGTCTTTTTGGGTATTGTCTTGTCATCATTGATGTGGGGATAGGAGGAGGTGGAGAGGTGGACAGAAGCACGACACGCAATCCAAAGAAACTTAAGGATGCATGAGGGAGGAGGAGTTATGTATGAAGGCTGTCTCAGCAGGTGGCAGATAGGGTTTAGGTAAAGCCATAAACACAGTCTTATGCCACAGAATGGTCTTTGTAGAGAAATGACTTCGTTACGTGCTTGTCCGAACAAAATCCTTTGAGGATGGAATAGCTGAATCCAGGGTATGAGTAGCTGACATCAGCACGTAACCGGTAGAAAACCAGCTCTTTTGTCTGCTGTAGAAAAAGATTTGTGTCTTGTTTGGTTTTTTAGGAAACCAAGATGAGTTTTCTGTATGTCTTTAACCCCATCTTTGGGAAGAGAAGTCAAGTAGCTCCCCCTGTTTTGAAGCGTCCAGTTCTTCAGACTTTGCTTCTGCCTATTATGGATCAAGACTACGCCAAAGTACTGCTCTTGATCGATGATGAGTACAAGGTAAATTACTTTGCCTGGAGGCAGGTTTCTTCCTGTTCTGGTTAATTATTCCCCTCCCTTTTGGAGCAAGATAAAAAATGCTGTTGATTTCACGCAAAATTGAGGTTTTTCTGGTGCGACAGACCTCATCCTGGTAAACATGTTTGAAATAATCTTTCTTGGGTGGGTTTTTTTTTTTAATTTGTGTGTGTTTTTAACCTGCGTTTCAATTCTTCTTCTCCAGGTTACAGCTTTCCCAGCAACCAAAAATGTTCTTCGGCAGTTAGAAGAAATAGCCCATTCTATCTTCTTTTATCTAGTGGATGCTGAGCAGGGAAAACTCTCCGGATTCAGGCTGAAAAAGGTATGGAAGACTCATGACTGTCTAAGTGACGTAACTTTCCTAAATGTTCTCTGAATAATGGTAGATTTCTTCATTTGGTTTACGGAGTTTTGCTGGGGATAAAAACATTTCAGCTTCAAAAACGTGCCAAAGAAACTTTTCAAATTCAAAAGCAGAGAAAGCTTCCTGCATTTTACTGGTGGAGATGGTGTCTTCTGAGGACAAGATAAAACCTCCTGCGTCATGCTTTTTGTGGCAGGACCTGACCACAGAGGAGATCTGGGAGGTGATCATACCCACCGAGGTACAGAGGATAGTGACTGTGAAAGGGAAGAGGTCCAATGAGCACGTGCACTCCCAGGGCCGTGTGATGGGAGACCGCAGTGTTCTCTATAAGGTACCCTTGGAACTTCGTGTTGGCTTTCTGTCGATGCAGTATCTCACGGGAAGATCTGGCACCATTTCTAGACACTACGTTGCGATTAACTGCCCTCTGGTGCCACTCTTTTCTTTATATGTGTCAGTGTCCATAACCTTCTGCAGAAGATGCTAATTTTGGTGGTGATTTCTCTTGCAAAACATTTTCACGCAGCAATTAAGTCACTCAAATATCCGGTGATGGGGAAATAGCTGCTTGATTTCTTCAGGTGATTGGTGCTCATAAGATCCTTTGTTTATTATATGCCTAGATGAAATGCAGATGAGCCAGGGGCCTGTGGCCCTGAAGTGGTGGGGCTCAGTATTTTCTTTTTCTCTAGTCCTTGAATCCAAACCTGCTTGCTGTGGTGACAGAGAGCACGGATACGCATCACGAGCGCACGTTCATTGGAATATATCTGATTGATGGCGTCACAGGCAGGATCATCCACTCGTTGGTACAGAAGAAAGCGAAGGGACCAGTCCACATTGTCCATTCAGAGAACTGGGTGGTGGTAAGAGGTTTTTCTTAACTGTGTTCTTCACCCCTGGGATGCAGGGGCACTTGCTGAACCTGTACAACACAGACTTTTTGACCATTCTGTGTGATTTACCGCTACCTTTGTATGATTGACTCTGCCTGCCCTGTATTCCTAAAACCTTCTCTCATTTCAGTACCAGTACTGGAACACGAAGGCACGTCGGAATGAGTTCACTGTGCTGGAGCTCTACGAGGGGACAGAGCAATACAATGCCACAGCCTTCAGCTCACTTGACCGCCCAATTTTACCTCAGGTCCTCCAGCAGTCTTACATCTTCCCGTCTGCCATCAGTGCCATGGAGGCCACCATCACCGAGCGAGGCATCACCAGCCGTCACTTGCTCAGTAAGTGCCTGCTGCTCTGTCCTAGATGTGCTTATGCTACCTGCATGAGCTAGGTTTTGCACTGAGAACCAAGTAAAATGCAGTTTGCTGCCAAAAATCATGCCTGGACTGGCTGCTCTGGACTCTTGGTGAGTGCAGGGATAAACCCCAGGAGAGCATTTATGTTAGCTGTTGAAAAATGCTGTCAGAAATGGCCATTTTTAAGATGTACTCCTTCTAATGCACAGTTGGGCTTCCCTCTGGGGCCATCCTCTCCCTTCCAAAGGCTCTGCTGGATCCTCGCCGCCCAGAGATCCCTACGGA